TTTCTATTACCTGTCTAGTGTACTCATAAGAAAGTAAACACGAAAGAGAGAAAGAAAGAGAAAAACAGTCAAAAAAAAAAAAAAATAAAAAAAATAAAAAGAGATAGAAATAGAAAAATAGAAAAAGAAGATTCAAGAGAAGGAAGGCATCTCTCGTGCAAAAATTACGAGCCGCGAAAGATAATAAAGTTGTCTGGCCCCGATGAAAGAGAAAGAGAAACAGAAAGAGAGAGAAACTACGAACGATCCTTCTCACCGTCGCCTAATGTACCTCGGAAAAGCCAGTTTTACGTCCATTACCACTACACCATAGAATCTTCTTCGAACAACCCCACCCCACCCCCCGTCCCCCTCCCCCTTCTCTTTCCTACTCACCTCGTTCGCACCTGTACTCGTTACTGTTGTGTAATGCGTTAGACACACCGTCACGCTCCAAACGTTCCATGCAATTTCACATTTCTTCTTCTTCTCTAACGATACTCACCATTTCATTTTGCATTACCTTTATATATATACATTATTATACCTTTTATTAACCCATAAATAATCCATTTTCACGATAATTATTGTAGTGGATTTTTTTTTCTTTTTTTTCTTAACGTCATTCGTATTTATTTTGCATTTTTTCAATCAATTATTCGAGTTTATTCATCGTCAATGTTTTTATTCATCGTCAATGTTTTTTAATTGAATTTGATATGTTTAAAATGTATTTTAAAGAACATTAATAATTATTAATTAATTAAAAATATTAATAATAATTTGTTAAACTAATATTGCGACTTGACTTATGTTGATTTACTTTTTTCCTTTTTTTCTTTTCTTTCGCACCCTTCAGGAAACCCCATTTTTAATACGTTCAACTTCGTTCTTTTTTCTCTCTCTTACGTTTTTCTTTCTCCCTTTCTGTTTTAGTGGAATAGGACGGTACTCCCACGACCCACCTGTTCTTCCTTCGCTTGATACTTTCAAGTAGGTATAATAGGCTATAACCGACCTCCCGTGACTCGAATTTAAATGAACAGAAAATACCCAAATACACGTTGTCTACGTGACAATTTAAAAAAAAAAAAAAAAAACTCCCCGTTATATTCCTTTTAATTTCAGTCAGCAAAATAAGAAATAATGATAAATGAAATATTTTTAATATATTTTAATCTTCTTTTATAAAAAAAAAAAATGAAAACACACATTTCCACAACGAGTCAAAGTAATGCCCAAAGATCAACACACACAATACAAACGACGATTAATAAATATGAGTACATTCAACAAATCAAATATCAAATTCATAAAAATGACGTCACCATAAATACAATAATATAAAATTATCAAACAAATAATATTGATCATTAAACCAATAAGAAAAATATTAATCAATGGTTCGTAAAGTCCAACAAAATCTCCAAATATTCTCGTAACAAAATATTATATCCAATCAAATAATCAAATAAAATCAAATACAAAATGAAATTAAATTCAATTAAAAAAATAAGAAGTACAATAAAAACCAAAAAAAAAATAAAATAAAATAAAATAAAATTAAAGAAAGAAAGAGAAAGAAAAATAAAAACAATCCGAACAATTCGCCGATCGGCAAGCCGATGAGCGTGAGAAGATTCTCATAAGCCGTGCGGGCGGATAATAGCGAGTAAGAGAAAGAGAGAGAGAGAGAGAGAGAGAGAGAGAGATAGAGAGAAAGAAAGAAGAGATAGATAAAAGAAGAAGGAACGAAGAATGAGGATAAGGATGAGGATGAGGATGAAGAGGTGCCGAGGAGGAAAAGGAGAAGGAGAAAATGAAAGAGGATGGGAAGAAGAAAAAAGGGGATGGTGAGTGGGTGGGGGGGATGATGGGGGTAACTTCTATAGTTGAGGGTGGAGGGGAAGGAGGGAAAAAAAACGAAGAAACTAATTGACGACGGTGGTCGTCGCGACGAGAAGAGAAATATCGAAGGCGCATCGCGTTTCGAAGGGGAGTTGCGCGCGTCGCTTGCGGCGCTGCTCGTGCGTTTACTATTCGTTTTGGGGTGGGGGTAAAATGTTAGAGTGAGATAGAAAATCTTCTCTATTCTCTCCCTTATACTCTCTCTCTCTCTCTCTCTCGCTCTCTCTCGTTCTAACTTTCATAGTAGTAGTAGTAGTAGTAGAATATTCACGCGAGGACACGGTATATAAAATCATAGAGACACGAGTGGCCCGCTATAATAATGCATAAGGAGGCGTGTACGAGTTCGGTCGTTTGGCCACGCCCCTTCCCCGCCGCTTCCAATCTACTCAGGAGTGGGGATTCAGCCGGCCGGCGTTTCAGAGATTCGAGTGGGGGAATAAGATAGAGTTAAACTGGAGGAGTGGGGATAGGTAGGAGAAACGTACGGACGGGAACGAATAAACGTGAGAGAAATAGATATATATATATATATGTATTATACCTTAGTATATATTCTCTCTCTCTCTCTCTCTCTCTCTCTCTCTCTCTCTCTCCTTACCTCTCATAAATTTAATCCATCTGTCTGTCTGTCTGTATGTCTCCTTTACTCATAAATGTTGATTATCTAGGCGTCTTGCTCATCGTTATTTTATGCGTCGCTTTCTCATAATTATTCATGCATTTTCTCCTCTCTCTTTCTATCTCTCTCTCTCTCTCTAATTCTGTTTTCTATTATAATTATTAAATTATTCGTATCTTAGAATAATATTATAAATTATTTATTATTATTTAAACAATACCAATCATTTTCTTCATATTATATCAGTTTTATTCATTAAAATTTCTATAGGAATAAAAGGAAATAAATCCATCTTCCATAATAAAAAAGAAACGATATAAAATCTTGGGATGAAAATTGTCCTGTTTTAAATATCATATAGAAAAGAAGAGAGAAGGGGGTTTTTTTAACATAGAAAGAAATATCTATGTGCGTGTATAAGTGTATGTACATATATATAGAAGAAGGATTCGAAGGAAAGGTCGCGCGCGTTCGGAAGCTGTGTGCCTCTCGAAGGGTGGAAATCCCCACCGGAGGTGTCGACGCTGCTGCTAGAGATAGAAGTGGTGGGGAGGCGGGTAGTGGCGTGGAGGTCGAACCACGGAAGGAGAGGAGAAGGAGGAGGAAGAAGAACGAAGTAGGGAGGGAGGAGGAAGTATATACTGAGAGAGAAGGGGAAAGGGGAGGAGGGAAAGTACTCCGGTAAGCAGAGTGGTGGGGATAAGGGGTGGAGGAGAAGGAGGTACGTTTCGAAGCGACTATGATAGTGTTGTGTGCGGTGTGTGCGCGCCGACGACGAGATATGTTTCAGTCAGGAGTGGGGAGTAAAAGCGCGCGCAAGAAGCTTCTCCCTACCACGGGGTAGTCGGTGGACGGTGGAGAGGGGTGATTCGACGTCAGGCCCAGAGCTGGTCCGTCCGTCGTCCGGCCGACTCGAGCGATCGGAGCCGCGGATATTTCGCGCGAGAGAGATATAATACAAAAGCAGGGTTTTAAACAAAAACAAAAAAAAAAAAATAATCGAGAACCGCGCGCGCGCGTACGTACACCTACGCACCTACTACTATACACACATCTCTCCTCCGTCATACCAGCAGGACCAAGCAAGTACTACTACTACTACTACTACTACTATTATTACTAGTATTAGTACAACACAACTACTACGACGACGACAACACAGCAGCAGCAATCAACAATTAAAGATAAAAAGACAAAGAGACGTGAGAGACTGACATACGTATTAATACACGTAACATACCATGTATATATAAAACGAGAGAAAGATAGAAAGAGTGAGGGAGACTGGCAGAGAAAGAAAGAGAGAGACAGAAGAGACACGTGTGCACAAGCCAAGCACGTTGCTCGATACATACACATGCACACATACATATATACACATACGCATAGTCACGCATAGTCACGCATATACACGCGTACGTATATATATATCTATACTTGAATACATTCATATATATATACATGCATATAGGTATATATATATACATATGTATATAAATGTAAATATATAAGTAGTACGTATATACCTGGACTGCATTGAGAAGAGTAGACAGAAAACGTGTGAAAGAACGAAGAAAATAAAACGTGCAACAACAAATTGTCATCGTCGTCATCATCGTCATAGTTTGGATTCTTCTTCGTGCATTTCTTTCGTGTCGTGCTTGCAACAGCAGCAGCAGTAGCAGCAGTCAACGTTCGATCATCGTCATCGTCATCATCATCATCAACATCCTCATCCGTCCGTCCTCAATCGTATTTCGTCTTCGGTGTGTTTCGTGTTGACGAATTCAAGTTACGATACTTGATTTTCTCTCTCTCTCTCTACAATCCGATTAATAATTCATCGAAGAAAAATCAAAATAACGAATGAAATTTGAAAGTGTTTAAGTGCGCGCCGATATTCGTGATACTCGTGTGATTAAAAGGAATAAAAAGTAAGAGAGAAAGAGAGAGAGAGAGAGAGAGAAAGAAACAGACAGACAAGATAGAGGAAGGATAAAAGAGGATAGAAGATATAACCCACCCGGACCACCACGTGCTAAACAGTGTGTTTTTGTGAGAAAGTGTTTTAACCTGAAAACAACGACGAATCAAATAGAAGAAAATACTTTTATTGTGAGAACTCAATCGTAAAAAGGAAAAAAAAGAGAGAGAGAAAAATAGTTGAAATTGGTGTTTTGGTATTAAGGAGGGTTATGATGGGTTAAAAGGGTTTATTGTTAGTCGAAGAAGGAAGGACTTAATTTGGAAGAAAGTGAACATTTTCTATGGATTACTGGCCGAGTTGACACGGCCGCCGGCCGAAACACTTGCTTCTTGTATTCCGTCATATATCTTCTTTTTACCTTTCTTCTTCTTATTCTTATTCCATTCCTCGATTTCATCTCTGTCAATCCTACATTTTCTTATTCTTTCTTTTATTATTCCATTCCAAGATATAAAAATAATTATTTATCATTTTTACAATCTTCCGTTTCACTTTTTTTATCTCTCTATCTCTCTCCTTCTCATTCTATTTCTCTCGTCACACTTCACTTCTCTCCCCTCTCCTCTTCCTTCTCCCACGAGTCCTTCCACACTTCTCACTTTTTCACTCTCTTTCATTTTTGCTAGTTTTCTTTCAATTTTTATTCCCCACTCTTCCATATTTCCCAGGGTGCCCTTTTTGTACTACTCAACGGGTGACAGAATATAATAACACTAATAAGGCCTATGGAATCGTCAAAGGTACGCATTTGCCTTTGGGCATCCCGACTGTACTCAGATGGTCTCGATCTTCTGAAGAATCGAACGAGATAGAAGAATACAAAGTTGTTTTAGGAAGATAAACATGTAAACAAGGAATTTTTAATCATTTTATATTCTCTATATATATATAGAGAGAGAGAGAGAGAGAGATATTAAACGTTTTAAAAGAAAAACAAACAAACAAACAAATATTTGAATCATCATGGTGTTTTATTCGATGAATATTTTACAGTGATCAAAAATATGATAATAGAACATTGATTGTTCTTCTTCCCTTAGAAGGAAGAAGGACGATAAATTTATAACTAATCGAATAGTTGTAATATTCCGTATATTATTCGTATTCGTAATCGTTAATAGTGAAAAAGAAAAAAAAAGTGTGGACCCGATAATAATAATAATAATTATTATTATTTCAATTGATACCTTTTAATTGGGAAAAGAAGAAGAAGAAAAAAAAGTTTTACTAGACACGTTTAAAACAGTTATTAAGTTTATTTATTAACAGTTGAAAGAAAATATACAAAGAAGAAAGTGAAGTTAAATTAAAAGAAAAAAAAAACACACACACACACAATAACCCACCACTCACCCGCCTTAAAACGTTTAATCCCCCCGCCGATTGTGTGAGATCGGCCGTTCGAGTGAGTGAACGAAAGCGAACGAACGTATGACCAAGTTGAAAGGTTGGGTGTAGGTGGGCTACAAAGGTTGAGGGTTCTCTGTGCGGGATTATAATTCGTGTGCGCGAAATAAATTATTCTTAATAAAGATTTGTAAGGGATGTCACGGAGAAAGCAGGCCCGACCGAGCCGTGCCCATCTCGAGGAGGATCTTGTTCAGGGCCAACTCCTGATCGATCATCGTCTTCATCATCAACATCATCATCATCATCATCATCATACACATCATCCGGTTCGAAGCATCGTTAACGAGATCAGTAAGTGAAATTATTTATTTAATTTTTTATTATATTTTTTTTTATTACGATTATTTATCAATATTGCAATGTATACGTCGTGTGAAAACGTATACACGTATTTGAATATGATATTTTATACTTTTGAGTTTGACTGTAGAAATTTTTGAACAGACTTCGCGTGAAATGTGAAATCATGGCTCATACTTTTAGATTTGACTATACAAATTTTTGAAAACACTTCGCATCAAAAGTCGGACCAATATTTCATATTTTTAAGTTTGATTATAAAAAAAACTTTGAAAACACTCCATGTCAAAAATAAGACCCAATCAGACCCCCAAAAATTACAATCAAAAAAAAAAAAAAAAAATTCTCTTCCACACAAGTATTTCTTTTAAATTAAACATTCATCAAGTAAAGAAAATTAGAGGAGGTTGAGGAGGTGGAGGAAAATTTTGAGAACACTTCGTGTCAAAAATAAGACCCAAATGAGACTCCTAAAAATTACAATCAAACAAAAATTCTCTTCCACACAAATTTATATATATATATATTTTTTTTAATTAAACATTAAACAAGAAACAAAAATAAGAGGATGAGGATGATGAGGAAGAGGTGAAGGAGGTGACTTTGTGTTAACGATCGTGAAATCATGTTTCTGTTAAATCAAACTTCCCCTTTCCTCCCACTTCGTAATTCGTACTCCCCCACTCCCCCCCCCTGTTCTTCCTTTGCTCGTCTTTGGCGTGTTCTTTCCTTTACTTCGATAAAATACTTGTCGTCGATCGAGACGACGAGAAAAATGAGAAGAAGAAGAAGAAGAAGAAGGAAGAAGAAGTTCTTCGTAAAGAAAACGGGCTACCAACCGAGAGATGATCTCGTCTTCGATTACTACTACTACTATTACTATTATATTTACTATTACTATTACTAGTTGTGTGTATTACTTACCGGTTACCTTACAACCACTTCAAACGAGTTCGTCGTGATTATCGTGATAGTAGCACGCGAAGAAGAGAGAATGAGAAAGAATGAAAGAGAATGAGTGACAGAAAGAGAGTAAGAGAGAATGAGAGAGAGAGAGAGAGAGAGAGAGAATGAGAGTCTTAGAGAGACAAAAAAAAACGATTAACTCGATTAACACTTGAGATAAGTTAGAAAAGGTGTATCGTCAATCAATGATCGTAATTTACCCCTTTGAATGATAATAATAAGAACTACTTATTATATATACATATATATATGTGTGTGCATGTATGTATGTAGTTACTATATATATTACGATTTGAAATATTTTTCTCAAATAAAAAATGATTAACTCGATTAACACTTGAGATAAGTTAAAAAAAAGGTGTATCGTCAATCAATGATCGTAATTTATCCCTTTGAATGATAATAATACGAACTATATACATATATACATATGTGTGTGTGTGTGTGTGTGTGTTGTAACTATTATGATTTGAAATATTTTTCAAAAATTTGTTAACAACCCTTGAGATAAGTTGAAGAAGGTGTACCGTCAATTTAATGATCGTAATTTATTATAAAAAAAATATAATATAATATAATACAATTATATAAAAAATTGATAAAAATGTGAAAAGGTACGATAGAAAAAGAAATGAATGATGTAGATTACAAAATAAAAAAAAAACGAAATGAAAAGGAAAGAAGGGAATAAGGGAATGAAGGTTAGAATGGTTTTCGTTTATAATGAAACAGTGTTTTAAAAGTGTTAGAACACCGATTGCAATTCACTTTCCGTCGGACCGAGTCCAGTACGTCTCGTCGGTTGGAATTAAATCAACCCAATGATAACTTGGAAATCTTACAAGTGTCCTTTTCTCACGTTACTATGAAAGTTTCTTAAAATGACCAGTAATGGTAACCAGGTAACCCATAATAATAACAGTAATCATTGATGATTGTGATAAGACTTACTATTCGTTTAAAAGTTCTTAAAACATATAAGTGTGTATATATTTATTTATAATAATTAATAAGCATACCAAATAATAATCTTTGAAGATTGTGATACCTTTTTTCTTATTCGTTTTGTTCAGAATTCTTAAAAAATTAGTATAAATATATATATATACTTATTGTATAATAATTAATAAGAATACCAAGTAAAAATGAGATTATTTTATTAATACTAATTATTAAACGTAAAAATGTTTATTATATTAAATTGTGTGATTAAATTTTGATATCTATGTGGAAAACGATATATATATATATATAT